TGTCTATAACGTTCTTCTAGGCTATAAATACTAGGTAGCTAAAGTAGGTACCCTTTATAGCCTAAGATATTTTATTATCTTTGTGTAGTTTATTAAATATAGCGTTAACTATCTCCTTTTCCTTAGATATTAGATTAAATAGGCGTATATTTAGCTTCACGTTTTCCTATCTAGGAATAAGTAGTATCCTTATATAATATTCCTTAGGGATAGCTATAGTAGTGCTATAGTTAGAGAAAAGCTTAGGAAATCTAAGGTAAATATTAGCTAGATTCTAGACAGTCGCAGAGTCTGCGTTGCTGTGTATCCTCACGCTGTTTACAAGCGTGGTTTCTTTATCCTCCTCTAGCTTAGAGGGAAAAGCTATAGTAGTAGCGTAGTTAGCATAAATTTAGAGGTATACGTTATAGTTAAGCGCTAAGCATTTCCCTATAAGTGCTTGCTATTATATAGTAACATCCTTATAGGTATTATTTCTAACTAAGATATATAGCGTAGTATTATCTATTAACGCGTAATAAGGCGTTACTATTATTACTTACTTCTCTGCTAGTTAAAACTCTAAATTGTAGCTAGTTAGGAGGGGCGCTCTAGTAAATATAGGGACAAAAGCTACTAAGTAGGCTAGGACTATTATATAATAACGCGCTAAAACTTTTTGCGTTAGTAGGCGCTACGCTAGCTTAGGTAATATCTAGATAGGGATCCTAGCTACTATATAGTATAGGAAAGTTAAAATTCTTTTACCTATATTAATATCTACGTCCTTAGGTCCTAGCACGTCTATTCTAAGTAGCAAGCTAGCGTCTAGATCCTAGACCATATAGAGCTTAATTTTAATAACTACTTAAAGTAGGGTGCTAGTGGCGCTAACCCTATCTAGTATTAAAGGGACCTACGTAAAAGCGTAGTAGAAATAAATTGCATTACTAATACCTTTAACATACATAGGATCCTTTAAGTACTAAACCTCTATATTAGGGATTAATTTTCTTAAAAAATATTCGTCTACTAGTGTAATACAGGCTCTGGTGTCTAGGGTAATAATAACCTAAGGACTACTTAGGCTAAAACGTGCGTTTATTTTAAGATGCTACTATTACTATTATTATAATGCTATAGTATATACTACTAATAATAGACTTTAGTTAATAAAAGTTAGGTTAATATTATCTATTACCCCTACTAATCTTGTTAGTGCTATATTCGCGCTACTATTATATAGGGGTGTTGCGCAAATATTAGTATAGGGCTTACTTATTAGGTGCCTAACGCCTAGGAGTTTTCCTAGTTATTAAATATAGCGCTGTGTTTATACTCTATAGCGTAAATAAAATGCTTAGTGTCTTATAGGTGTTCCTATAGCTTGTTATTTAAAGCGAATTTCGCGCTATAGGTGCTATAGGTTCTTAGGCTAATAATTAGTTCCTCTAGCTACGTACTAGCGCTAAATAGCAAGAAAGATAGTTTTTAACCTGCAAAACCTACAAATACGTCTAGGTTTACCCTATCCTTATTAAAGTATAGAAGTTAGATTCCTATAACGCCTTTATTACTATTAAACTATCCTACCTCTACGCCTAATTAGGTTGTAGCTATGTTGCATATATTATTATTTAGTAAGTATCTATTATAGGCGTTATTATCTATACCTATAGATCCTAGCTAAAATAGATTATTATTTATATCCCCTTTATTAACTTTATTAACTAAAAAACTATATCCTTACGCTAGGTAACCTTGCCTACTACCCTAGTTTAGCGCTAGGCAATATTATAGCAGGAAATTACGTCGCAATTGCAAACCAGACGCGTCTAGGCCTCTTTTAGCGCTCTAGTCTATTAGCGCAGATACACGTATAGGTAGCGCGCTTCTACTTATTAGAGCCTATTAAGAACACTACGCGGGATTATTAATTTAATAGAACAGGTTATTAGAATTATAGGTGTATTATTGCTACTATAGCTATAGTCCTAACGTCCTACCCTAGTTAGGAGGACTAGCTAAAGGCTAGTTTCTAAATAGATAATATATCTAGCTAGTAGCGTTCGCAATATAATTACCTAGGGGGTACCTACCTAAATATCTAGTACAAGATTAGTTAGCTTTTTACTATTCCTTAAAAACCTTCGCGTAGGATTTAAGCACTAAAATAAACCTTTAGTAGGTTATGCTATTATTATCTATAGGGTCCTAGACCACAAGCCTAAAATAAGGGTTAAGCTTCTAGTAAATTATATTAATCTATATAGGTTTGTCCCTTATTACGTCCTTATATCTAAATTCCTATAGGTTATAAGCTACGTTTATAGCAAACGTAGTAACTAACTTGTTATCTATTAGATTAGCAACCGTAAATATTATTCTTGCAAGCTTAGCTCCTACCTTAGACTTAGGCCTTTAGAATTTTGTAGTTAATAGCTTAGTCTAGTTTTCTAATCTACGCCTAACTATAGCGTATTATTTAGCGCTGTAAGGAAGCTAATTAGTAAACTATATAAGGGCGTCGCTATAGAGGCACTTAGATAAATATAAGTATATAATATAGTCTAATAATATTATAGTAGCGCCCTAAATTATATTAAGGAAAGGGTAAAGGTGCTTGTAGGTTATACGTCCCTAATATATATTCACGCTGTTTAAGTTAGCTATCTTAATACCTAGGTTAAAATACCTAGTATCCTCTATATAGAATCTTAGATCGCCGCCTCCTATAAGCTTAGCGCGTTCTAGCTTAGCGCTAATCTCCTTAGTAGTTACTATAGTTAAAAAATACCTATCTCTATAATCTATTAAAGGCCTAAGGGCTATAGGTTAGTAGCAGGCTAGGTTACTAGCTATTCCTTATAGTAAAATTATAGCCTAGTTATTTATTACCTAGCGTGCTAGTGTATATATTCTTATAATATTATATAGGGGCGCTAGACCTAGTATTTATAAGGATTGCTGCTATTAGGATATACTAGGCGTAGTAGCCTTAGCTAGTACTTATAGCGCTATTTAGGGTAAGTAATAAGGTCTACTAGGTAGTAGTTATATCTATACTATACTATAGTAGTAGATATTACTACCTTTATATAGCTCTACTGCGTCTACGTTAGCTTGCGCTAGAGCTTAGGGTGCTAGGGTAGGCGCTATTTAAGTAAATATTCCTAGCGGCGTTAAAACTACTATCTAGGTCTACTAGGTGCCTAGAAAATAAAGTAGTAGCTATATTAGTAGGGGTAATTGCTACGCTATAGGTGCCTGCGCTAGGGTAATATACTACTAACTCTAGACTACTCCTATTAGAGCGTTAAGTTATATTGCAATCTAATATATGCTAGTCTAGTAGGTATTATCCTTAGCTTATAGTTGCGTAGCTATTTAATAAAAATTTGCCCTAACTACCTTATTACTTATTTACGTAGAAAATTACTAGGTATCTAGGGCTTAGTTTTAAGTAGTAATCTAAGCCTATAAAGTATTAAATTTTATATTAAGTATATCTAGGATATCTTTAATTAGCTCCTTAGTAGCTAGTTTAGTTATATTAGGTATCCTCTAGGGCTAGGGTAGATTAGCACGCCCTTTACCTTTACCTTCTACTATAGGATTACTGCGCACTATTATAGTAATATTAGCCTATAATAGTGCTAGTAGCGCAGATATAGCTATAGGGAGGAGGTTTATTTAGGGGAAATTAGAGGTAGGTCTAGCTATAGTAAGGGGGTTTACCTTAGTAGTTGCAATTATTAAACGTAGCTACTAGGTAGAATAATCTACTATAGCTGCGTTAAATAGGTTGCTGCGTAATTTATAATGCCCTAATAAAAAACGTTTAGGGCTAGTGTCCTCTAGTGCGCTTTCTATACCCTAGTAGGCTTTATTCTTAGTGCTAGTCACGTCTTATATAGGGTTAGCCTCTCTAGATAATACATACTATAGTTTATTTAGTAGTAGGCCTATATACAAATCTAATTAGCTATAATATTATCTATTAGTAGTATATTAGGGAGTAGGCCCTAGTTTAGCAGGCTTAGGTTAGGCTGTAGCTTAATATAGTAGTCCTGTTAGTTCTACTAATAGTAAAACCTAGTCTACCTTTATAGAACTTTAAGCAGCAGCGCTATATAACGCGTCTATTTATTACAATATAGTAGTTTCTAGTAGCGTGTCTAAATTAGGAACATAGGTAGCTAGTTTTATTAACTTTAGCTATTTAGCTAGGTAGGTAATTAATCTAGGTTTATACTTCACGACGCCTCTTAAGAATAAGTTTATATACTTGCCCCTTCTCTTATATACTTACAACTTAGCGCCTATAAAGGTTAATATAGACGCGCTATAGGAGGAATTTTCTATAGTAGTATCTCTATTACTTATATCCTATTATATAGCACGCTTTAGATCCCTAGTCTTAGGGGGAATAAATCTAGCGTGTCTTCCTTAGAGTTATCTAGCTATCTACTCCTAAAAAAGCTAATACTTAGTAAGTAGGGTAGTAGCGTTGTAAAAAGTGCTAGTAACGCGTTTTAAGATCTTCTTTACTAAGGACCTATTAATATTAAAATTCTATTAAAATAGATATCCTAGTTTAGCACTATATTTGTTGCTAGGTTATCTAGGGCGCGCTAAGTCTTATAGGGTTAGTAGGTTATATAACTAGACTATTATATAGATAATATTAGTAGTTTCCTAAGGGATAGCCTATTAATACGCGATATTATAGCTTAGAAATAAGGTAAGCTAATAGGCTAATATAAATATATTAGTGTCTAGGTCTAGTAGGGTATGCTATTTATTAACTACAAAAACTAAAGGTTAACGCTAAGTAGCCTCTACTATACTAGTGTCTATAGGCAGGTTGTGCAACCTAGCTATAGATATAGAGGGGCTTAGCGTAAGTAATAGTAGTTAGTAAAATAACTAGTATCTAGCTTTCTATAGTATCTTTAAATTAATCTATAGTAGGTAGTAGTTTTAAGAGATAAGGTAGTAAGAGAAAGTTACGTATTTAAATGCTAAAAAATTTTCTTTTTAATAGTAAACTACGCTATTTTATAGAGACCACGCTGTTCCTAGCTATGCTATAGGTGCTATTACTAACTCCTTTATTTAGGTAGTAAGAGCTAGCACTCCTCTATACTTAAATAGCTACTTTAGGCAAGTGTTATAAGCTTATAAAAGTAATTATATTATTTATATAGAAATAAAATAGGACTAGGCTTATTATAACTTCTATATTTTTATAGCGTAGTATAAGTCTATTAAGGCTCTATTTAATTTTTAGAGCTTAGGTAGCTAATTAATAGTAGCGCTATTCTTAGTAGGCAACTAATTATTTATTAAAAGCTTTAGCTACTACTTAATATAAATAAGGTTAGACAGGGCACTAGGCATATATAGATAGTAGTGCATTAATTATATATTATCTACCCCTGCTATCTATCCTTATAATAGGTATATATAGGGGGCTGCGCCAGCCCTAGCGGCTGGCGCCACTTGGGGCAGCGCCAACCCTCCGCCGGGTTGGCGCGACTCGCGACTCGCGAAAGTGCAACCGCATCAGTCGCTACTGGACGCGACTACCGCCAACTTTGCTCTTACAAACGCTATATGGCTCTTCGAGCCTCTCAATGAGAAGGATGGGGTGAATGTCGCCGTGCACCTCCGCCAAACACTCGGCACTGTGCTTACTTCGTATCCTCAATGGGCCGGCCAGCTGAAGTCCATTGCTGTCGTCGACGATGTGTCGGTTCCCGCCGAAGCGCAAGAGTTCCCAGCCCACGCCCGTCGCTTCGGCCGCGTGTACGCGCATTTCGGGGCCTCTGCAGACGTCGGTGTCGAGTTCATCTCAGGAACAAGCTCTGCGACCACGGACTCACTCTATCCCACAGAGCGCGTGAAAACTCGGCCACTTTGGGATCGCAAAGACGAAACTCTCGGTAGATTTGTGCCTGCTGTCGACATTGCGCATGCCCTACAACCTAACGAGCCCGATGCCGCGACGGGATTGCGCAAGCCGATCATGGCTATCCAATGCACCACCTTGTCAGTGGTGGCATGTCATATGACCATGGGTTTAGCGTCGGGCGACTTGGGCTTTACTCCGAGTGGTTAGAATATCCCTGTAGGTTCAAGTCCACGTCACAGCGGCAAATTTTCATAGTTATATAAACTAGCCTATAGTTAAGTATAAATTAGGGTAATTTAAGCAAGTAAACGCAGTTTTTGTTACTATCTTTTTTAAACATGTTCTAAACCTATTCTTAATAATATACAGGTGTTCCTAAATACTATACTAGAGTTTAGTATAGCAGTACTAGATAATATATCTAAACTAGATAGTAATATTAGAGATAAATTTAGGCAACTGTATAAAGTGCTAGAGGAGGATAGTAGTAGTAGCGTTAAGGAAGTAAGTAAAAGTAAATAGAATAAGTTTAGAATAGGTTAGTAACACGTTATAGGGGCATAATATATACCTTACTTATAGTAATAGTTAAGGACTACTACTTACACTAGTAATTATTAAGTATACAGCTATTCTCCTAGCATACCCTTAATTATATAGCTAAGGGTATAGGTATATAATACTAGTTTAGCAATATAAAGATAGCTCTTACCTAATAAGAGAAGAGGTGCTTATATAGGCTACATAGGTAACACGTTAAGAACACGTTCTTAAATTGTTCTAATTCTAGCAGGTATAATACTCCTGCTAGTCTGTCTATCTTAATAGGCCTACAACTTTACTATTCTTTAATAGCTAGCTAGCAAGCTAGTATAAATACTAATACTCTAGGGTAAAAGCGTGTAAGTATCTTAAGAACACGTTATAAACATATTCTTATTACGTTGTTAATAACGTATTTGTTGCAGGAGGGATATTAACTGGATCACGGAGCATCTTGATCCCGATCAATCCCGATCAATCCTAATCAATCCTGGTCAATACCCCTGTATGACCCACTATCTGATTAACTGCCAGCTTACTACCAAGTGCCTAACAAAAAGCAGGAGCTCTAGTAAGGAAGGTTTACTAATTATTCACCTTCTAGTAAGGGTAGCTAAAGCTCTATATATATAAGTCTGATCGTAGTAGATACAATCTAATAATCTATCTCCTAAATTATTCCTAACCTTAGTAATCTAAATTTCTATAGTTATAAGCCTAGTTCGCGCTTTACCTTATTAAAGATCGTCCTATCTATTTAAGCGTATTATTTAACTTAGACACTAAGCTAGCAAGCTTTACTCTTTATACTATTTCTTAAGTAGAAGCTTACTTATTACTCTTCCACTATAAGTAACTAAATCCTAAAGGGGGATATCCTACTTACTAGATTAACTAACTGGCCCACCTGGTACATTTAATTTAGATACCATGCCCTAACTAAAGGGATCTAGGTAGAGGTAGACCCTAAGGCTCTAGATACTAAAAACCACTTTAAAAATAAACCTATTAAGCCTAACATGCTAATAGATATCACGCTATCTAATATAATAAGTGAGCAGTACAAGCTCTAAATAGCTTAGTACTAAGCCTGCTTATTAGATTAGGTATTAAAGTTATTAGTAATCTAGAACCTCTTTACATAGGTTAATAATATAGTAGATTAAGGGATCCTTACCCTAGCCTATATAGAGCTTGTTAATTAAGGAAGAGTAACCCTCTAAGCACTAATCTAAGTACTCTATAATAACCTAGCGCTAACTAACTTAAGCGCTGCAACACTAGCAAGATTACAGTATAAAGCTTATCTTGCTAAGGCAAAAATAAGTAGCTAAGACGCAGATTACTAGTAGAAGAAGTAGATAATCCTATATGCGTAAGCTAAGGTATATAACGTTCCTAATATTAAAGGATAGCTTGTAGTATAGGATTATCTTAAAGCTCTATCTACTAGGATCTTACTAGATTAGGGTTAAACTATATTTTAAAGGATTATTAAAAAGTTAGTAATAGGAGAGCTAACTTATAACCTCCTATAGGTTGCTAAGATCTATTTATTACTACTCTAAGAGAACAACATAAGATTAAGCTCTAAGGGTCCTAGAGTGTTTGCAACAATAGGAGCTCTACCTTCTAACTAACCTAAGAAGGAGTCTTTATATCCATGCAGTAGATCTTACCTATAGAAACCTCCTAAATACAAAAACATTATTAAAGCTTAGATTAATATAGGTAACAAGCTTACTACTACTTAATAATTAGAGATTAAGAAAAAGATTAATAGGAATCTAAAATTTAAAGAGTTAAGAAAAACTCTAATCAAGTCCTATCCTATTAATTAAGATTATGGTGGTAAGGCAAAAGAAAACGCAATCACCTATCTAGGCAGTATCTAGGTAGCACTAATTAACCCTATGTTAATAGCGGAGAAAACAAATAGGATCTATTTAACTATAGACTTTGAAGCTCACGCTCTATTAAAGAGCACTATCTTTAACAATAGGGGTGCAGTGCACCTAGTTAATAATATAAGCTACCTAGAAGAAAGCTTGTTTAGATTAGTTAAATATAAGACAGTTAAAGCAGGAACTTAAGCTTTTCTAATCTTAGGCAGAGGGACTAGAGTGATCCCTAATACTCTTAATAGACTAAGAGGTCCAAAAATAGAAGATTTGGTGCTCACTAACGTGGTGTTAGTAGAAGGTTTTTATATAAATATTATATTAGAAGCTTAATTACTTAAAGCAGGAGTTTAGTTCCTTAGGCTAGATGCTACCTTATAGTTTAGATTATTAGAAAAGAGCGTTATATTAGCTAAGTTACTGCGCAAGTTTAACTTAACTTTCCTAGAATACAAGCCCTCTACCCCTTATTAAATAATCTAAAGTATAGTGCCTAAACAACCCTAACAATCCTAGACAACTTACCTAAGATATAACAGTAAGGAGCTTTAGCACTAATAATTAGGCTATTTAGGACCTAAGGCGCTTAAAGCTCTAGTTAAGTTAGCAATAAATATTAGGATTAAAGGAACTCCTAGGAGCAAATATAAGCACTACGCTATTACACATGCCTAACAGGTTATATTAAGATAACTAAGGGAAAGATTACCACATCTATACTACTAGGTATTATAGGATCTATTTAATATGCTAATAGGTATAGCTTACAAGTAATAGATCTTAGTATTAAAGTACGACTACTTAGGAAAGCTTTATACCTATCTACTATAAGCCAAAAACCTTAATAAGATTATACAGGTGTTTAAAAATTTCAAGAGCTTAATACTTAACTAATATAAGCTTAGTATAGTTAAGATTATGCAAGATAATAATATTATAACGCTCCCTTAGCGTGGCAAATCTCGCTTTTAGATCTAGGCAGCTAACAATAGTATTAAAATTAAGAGCTCACCCGTATATACCTATAAACCTAATAGAGGAGCAGAAAGAGCAGGGTAGGAGATTATAACAAAATTAATTAAAATAAGGATTAGTGCTAACCTACTAACAAAGCTCTAGCCTAAAATTATTAAAGCAGTAACTTGGCTCTATAATATAAGCCTGTCCTATGCTTATAATATAATATTACCTAACAAAGTGCTAGATTGTTAGTTTACTAGATACTTTAGGTAGTAGTAACTAGAGTAGATAAGGGAGGCAACTACTAATCTCCGCCCTAATTAGAGCAGAATATACGCCTATAGCTGTTAAGCTTACCCCCTTAACAGAGATTAAGCAGCCAGGCGTTACAAGAGGGTTTTTAAGGTGAACCCTTAGGGTTATATTAGATATCTAGTAGGATACAGAGCATCTAATATATATAGGATATAGATCCCCTTACTTAATTAAATTATTATAACGCGGAACATTACCTTTAATAAGGATCTTTTCTATAAAGAGAAAGATCTAGAGTAGCTTTAATAGTTAGAGGCTTAAAAGATAGTTAACGTTATTAGTAAAGATAAGATCTATAATATAGGAGAAGTATATAAAGAGCTTAATATCTTTAATTAGCTTTGTATTATAGCAGAGCAATATAAGGAGTCTAGTAAGCAAGGAGGACTAAACCTAGCGCAGGAGCTAGGGGGTAGGGTAGAGCTAGAGGAGGTAGATAATTAGGCTAGCTAGCCTAGTAATTCACAACCCCCTAAGCAGACACCTCTAGCGTAGGTACTAAGCACAGCTAGCTTAGCACAAAGGATCTATATAAAGTCCCCTAAGCTAATAGGGCTCTAAACTCCTAAACTAACACTAGAACTAAACTTTAGTATAGGAGACAAAGGATCTATACAGGTTATAAATTAGGGTCTTACTACCTAAGATAGTAGTAATCTAACTTACTTTAACGCCACAATAGGTAGCTCCTAGGAAAGACCTAGAGGGGAGAGTGCTATTAGTAGGTCACTCTATAAGAGCACGGAGATAGGTAAGGGTACCCTATCTAGCTCTTATAGGGGTGGTAAGCAGAGCTCCTACCTACCCGCTTTAGGACTAGATTCTGTATCTCCTGCAGATCCCTTACAAGCGGCACCTAGAGCTCCTAGAAAAAGTAGAAAACTATAAGTTAAAGGACTACCACTAATATATATTAGTAAGCAAGCTTAGGGACAGGACCCTAATAAACTACTAGGAGGCTCTATAAGTATAGGGATATATATAGTAATAGATCTATTAGATATAGATCTAATTAGAAATCCCTTGTATAATCTTTTAGTATATCCTAAACTAAATACTATAATCTACGCTATAATCGCAGTAGTAATAGGGAGCAAATCTCCTAAAAACCCTAAAAGGAATACGCACTAGGACGCTCTATAAAAAGAGCTAAAATAATAGAAGGATCTCTATAACTACTAAATAGAACAGCAATTTAGAGACGCAGCATATAAAGAAATTAATACTCTACTAAAAGCTAGTACCTAGGAGGAGATTAATAGGCTAACTAAAGGAGAGCGTCTACTCCTACTTAAATAGGTGTTTACATACAAGCTTAATTAGGATAGTTACCTAATTAAGTGCAAAGCAAGGATAGTAGTAAGAGGAGATCTACAGCTTACTAACTCAATTCATTTAACCTACGCAGCTACCCTAGCAGCTTAAACCTTTAGGACTATAATAGCTATTAGAGCTAAGTTTAACCTTAAGATATATTAATATAACGTT